TCCAACTTCCCCACTTGGTCAAACCGTAAGGTTTCAAACAAAGGACTCCCTTTCATTCCTAATCTCAGATAGAAAAGCTTTCTTAGCAGATGTGGGTGCACGTTCACGCGCAGGAATTTAAAACACACCTAAACATTAAAAACCGGGCACAAAATTTCCATTACGTAGATAACATTCCCTCAAATATCACAACTCTGATTATATTTTTTGATCAAGGTAACCTTTTATCAGCTCCTTTTCCTTCAATCTGTCACGGTATTTAAGTCTGCTAGGGAGACAGAAGTGTCTGCCATTGGGATGGAAACAAACAGCAAGTTGCTCTGTCCTGTTCAAAACAGATCAAAAACCCCCAGTTCTTTTAAAAGATACTCAGATTGAAATGTCCCAGAGTTGGGCTTGGACATACTGTGAGTAAAAGAGGTAAGCAATGAAAAGGCTGGCAGAACAAACATGGGCATGCAGTGGAAAAAATACTGTCTTGGCATTGGGGATGTGAAAAGCCATTCTGCAGAGAAGGCCAAATGCCACGTTTAGTGACTGCTTGCCTGAATTCAAGACTATCTGATGCACTTCATGAAGAGCACAAGGCACACTGGTACCAGCGGGGCCCAGGCACTAAGCTCTAGAGGAATCCTGTCCCTTTGTGCTGTGGGAGCTTACTCAGGCTTACAACCACGATTATTTCTCAGTTGAGGAAACATTCCCATCTTGACTTCCACTGTTATTTCTGCACTTGGATTTTCTTTACAGTTTTCCTCCTGTTGCTATTCATTCATTCCATTTGCTTTTCTGTCTTTCTCTTCCTTTCCCTTGGAGTTTTTCTCCCTGTAATAATTCCTCTTTCTTCTTATGCTTAATCCTAATTGCCTCCAATCAAAGTTTTGCTAAGCATTCCAAGTCATGCCATTAGACTTTAGAGTTAACTGGTTGAGGACAACTGATGTCATTCAGAATATTAGTTCAAGTTGCCTATTTGTAAAGTCCTGAAGAAAACGCTGCAAAAGTTTACAATGAGTTCACGTTTAGAATATTGCAATGGATTTTCTTCTCTCCAGGGAAAGTGATGGGTGTAACCAGTGTAGCATAAGCTACTCCACAATAGTTGCTCTTAAATAACTAGCTGCAGCTTTTAGAATAGCTCAGAAGTAGCTTATGCCATGTATCCATCCATTTCCTAATGTGGATAAAAGCTTTGTAAACGGGACAGCTTGGCACAGGATCTGCTTTAATGTAAACTTCACCTCTGGAGAAACTGGATTTATGATGGGTTTGTGCAGCACATCAGCTGGGGAAAATGGAAACACTCCACAGACTCAGATAGCTCTTTTCTGGTCTCTGTTTTCTATGAACCACATTGTTGGCTCTCCTCTGTCTTTAATGGTTGTATTATGATCTTTCTGGCCTCCAGCTCTTTGTTCTAATGATTAAACAAGACTAACATTTTTTTGAGGTCACGGTGATAATATGATAGTCCCTTTGAAGGGATTCAGTAAACATAACACAGCAGCAATGCTCTGTGATATTATCAGAACCTTAATTTTGACTTTTGGCAATATTACCACTGACAAAACTCCCAATGTTTTAAAAACCTTTAAATATATAGTGGGCAGAAGAACCACCAGTGATAACCAAAACAGGTTTATAAAGCACAAGACTCACTCAGTTTTCTTTCTTGACCACACTGGGCAACTCCTTAAAGGAGTCCAGCTGTTAAATGATTCTTAGAATTATAGTCCCTCTTGTCTAAAATGGCCATCCAGAAGTAGCTTCCAAAAGAACTCAGATAATTCTGACTCACTCTGAGATTCCTGGTAAGCAACTGATTTTCAGTAATTCTTGCTGGCCATGTGGGATTGACTCCAGCATCCTTAGGCACCTATGCAGAGACCAAAATAAACTATTTTTTTGACAGTGTTTGCTTGAACTCATGGACTACAAAGAATTTTAGAACACCAGCTTAGATTTAGTCAGCTGTCTTTCAAACATCTAAAGTTGGGTCAGACCAGTTCTTGTCTCCCAGAGCCTGCCCTACCTTTGAGTTACACATATGCTGGATGGTTAGACAGACATTGGGATTTAAGTGACTCACTGCATGCTGCCTGGGTAATCCATATGGTTAGACCAGACTTGGACAGGAAAAACAAAAAAGAAAGACAGAAAGGAAAAAAAGGAGAATGATTCTGGGACAGTGATTTCTGACATGGACCCAGGAAGAGGTGCTTTGCCTCAGAAACATCAGTGGTTTTTCCTTCTGTCCTGTGTCCTGCACCTCCCGTGCCAGCAGAAGGTTGGGTTGGCTCAGTCATGGTCCCAGCTCTGCTTTGACCCCCTTGTTTTAATCCATAGGGCTGCAAAATTCTGGTTTGCCTGTTTGTGGTCATTGGTTCATTTGCACTCACCTTCTCCATCAGGAGAACAAAGCCAGCCCAAGTCTTTAAAAAATAACTATAAAAATCATGTTTCTTTTTCTCTAAAAGTTGTCCTCAGATGCAGGAAATGACAACGTGAACATGTAACAGGGGGAAATGACTGTGGGTGACAAATGTGGAGCAGTTATATCTGAGCTCAGCATGAGAAATGACGAGGAAAAAACCTAGTGCAACCCACGTGCACGTCTCCTGTGCCTGCCTGCATGCTGACTGCTGGGGAGGGAGATGAGAGCCTCCGAAGCTTGGTGCTGAATTTTGAGGAAAAAAGTATGAAACGTTTCATATGGCCTCTTCCCAGCTTTCTGACCAACTCCAGAGCGTGTGAGAGGCTAGACTGCGAAAAGGACAGTTCACAGAAGGAAAGGTCAAGCTACGGAAACCAACTGACCAAGTCCATGCCCTGAAGCGGCAGGAGACAAGGCAGCACAGGCGTGGGGAGGATTGAAAAGCCGAGCAGAAACGAAAACGTGTAACTGAAAATGAGAATATGAAAGGATAAACACCAGAAAAATCTTTTTTCTCATCTTAAGTGTCTCTAATGAATTAATAGAAATCTTCATGTACAATTTAACACTGTTAATTTCAGCACGATAACTGTATGGTTTGTAATGATCAAGAGCTGTCAGGGATTAATATGAAACTCTATGAGCTGCTTTCTCTCTCTGACTGCTGAGATTGCACCTGGATCTTGCTCCTGCACACAGAAGTCCAAAACACATGGAACTGCAAATTTTAAATTTAAACACTAGATGGCTCCGTTGGCTTTTTAAATACAGCATTTCCCAAGCCTGCAAGAGTTTTGAAAAGTAAATACCATTCAGAGTTGCGTTGCATTGACAGTCACTATGGGTGAGTAACTTTTCACAGAACCACACAATCACAGACTATGCCGAGCTGGAAGGGATCCACGAGGATCTTTGAGTCCAGCTCCTGTCCCTGCACAGGACCACCCCCAAGAGTCACACCACTGCCCTGAGAGTATTGTCCAAATGCTTCTTGAACTCTGCCAGGCTTGGTGCTGTGACCACTGCCCTGGGGAGCCTGTTCCAGTATCCAGCCACTCTCTGGGTGAAGAACCTTTTCCTAATATCCAACCGAAACCTGCCCTGACACAACTTCCCTTGGTCCTGTCACTGGTCACCACAGAGCAGAGATCAGTGCCTGCCCCTCCTCTCCCCCTCACAAGGAAGTTGTAACTGCAGTGAGGTCTCCCCTCAGTCTCCTCTTCTCCAGCTGAACAGACCAAGTGCCCTCAGCTGCTCCTCACACGGCTTCCCCTCAAGGTCCTTCCCCATCCTCGTTGTCCTCCTTTGGACACTCTCTAATGGCTTAATGTCTTTTTTATATTGTGGTGCCCAAAACTGCCACAATATTCCAGGTGAGGCCACCCCAGTGCAGAGCAGAGCTGGACAATCCCTTCGCCTGAGACCCCCTGAGACCCACCGGGGTTGGCCACACCCTCTCACCTGGAGGAGCTCACAGGCCGTGCCCACTCACCCGGGACAGCCAAGAGGCCCCTCCCCCCTTCTAAACCCCACCCATCGTCTTCAAACCCCTCAAAAGTTATGCTCACCTCACCAGAGACACCCTCAAACTCACCTGGGTGACAAAAGATGACCCCAGGTGACCCCTGGATGACCCCAGGTGACCCCTGGACATAAGGTAACCTGTGAATGACCCCAAGTGACCCCAGGATGACCTCAGGTGACCCCGAATGACCCCTGGATGACCCCAGGTGACCCCTGGATGACCTCAGGTGATCCCTGAGTGACATCAGGTGACCCCAAATGATTCCTGGATGACCCCAGGTGACCCCTGGATGATCCCAGGCAACCCCAAATGACTCCTGGATGACCCTAGGTGACCCCTGGATGACCTAAGGTGACCCTAAGGGACTCCTAAATGACTTCAGGTGACCCCTGGATGACCTCAGGTGACCCCAGGAGACTCCTGGATGACCCCAGGTGACCCCTGGATGACTTCAGGTGACCCCAAATAACTCCTGGATGATGTCAAGTGACCCCAAATGACTCCTAGATGACCCCTGGATGACCCCAGGTGACCCATGAATGACCCCAAGTGACCTCAGGTGACTCCTGGATGACCCAGATGACTCCTAGATGACCTCAGGTCACCTGTGTATGACTCTGAGTGACCCCAGGTGACCCTTGGATGACCTAAGGTGACCCCAAGTGACTTCTGCCTGACCTCAGGTGACCCCTGAATGACCTAATGTGTCCCCAAATGACTCCTGGATGACCCCAGGTGACTCCTGGTGACCTGTGCATGACCCCAAGATGACCCCAAATGACCCCAGCTGACTGCTGGATGACCCCAGGTGATCCCTGGTGACCCCAGGCGATGCTTTGCCTGATTCCCCCAGGACAGGGTTGGCCTTCCTGGCTGCCAGGACATTGCTGACTCACCTTCAATTTGCCATCGACCAGGACCCCCAGGTCCCTTTCTGCAGCACTGCTTTCCAGCCTCTCATTCCCCAGGCTGGCTGTACATCCGGGGTTGCCCCATCCCAGGTGCAGAATCCAGCACTTCCCCTTGATGAAATTCATGTGCTTCTGGATTCCTTTGATATTCCTGTTTTGGAAACAAAAAGTTCATTGAAACTCAGAAATGCAATAACAGGGAAGGCAGGCACTGAGTTTAAAAGCTCTTTTTTTCTCCCACTTCTATCTGGATCTGAACAGACTGGCTGTTTCCCTACTCTCTGCTTATCCCACTGGATTGTACAGGAGATAACAGGAATAAGCCACTCAAACAGCTGACTAACCCAGCAGGTCACCTTCCACTTCATACCTGCTTTCACCTACTCGGGTCTCTCTTGGCTACCTGAGTCTCCAAGAGATTAGTCCAGGTTGGAGCTGTTCTTAACCAGCAAAAGCACAAAGCTCCAAGAGCTGTGCTGTGTCTGGTCACACAACTGTTGGATCACGGCTGGCTCACGCCCACCCCCCTGCTCACAGCACACAGGGAAGCTGGAGAATGAGCTCACCAGCACAGGATGGTTGGGACACCAAAACACACAGAGTTGAAAACGGAACTGGGCTCATTTTTGGAAGACGTCCACTGACTGATAACAATCAGGACAGTCCAGATTCCACCTCCAGTTCGTAAAGATTATAAAGCAATACAGGTGAGGCACAACAGGAAAAGGGTTGCTCTGTCTTTGACACTGTCTATTGACTTGTTGTTTCTGTTCATCCAGGATTTTCCTGATGGGGCTGGCTGGGCACCGGCAACAAGTGAAAAAGGGAAGGGGTATGAAGGTGTGTGGTCAAAAATGTCCAAGAAGAGAACCAGAGCAAAGCCCTGAGCTGAGCACTCCTGTACATCAATCCTTCAAGGTGCCTATGGAATTCAAGGCCTTTCCATGAAGAAAAAAGGCTAAAGAAAGGGAAAACCCCAAACCCAAACCGACATAAACCCAACCAACTTAAACACCCCAAACAAAGCACACACCCACCCTAACTTATCAGTCACTAAATCAGGAAGGAAAGAAGTGTAAAGCTGCAGGATCAGAAATTAGTACAGAGAGAACTGAGTGAGGCATTGAGCACAAAAGCCCTGGCAGCATCTACTAGTCCATGAAAGTATCCCAAGTGTTCAGCACCTGATGATGCTCTGCCCGCACACAAGAGGGCAAACAAACAGCAACAGCCCCCCCCCTCCGGAATCTCTCTGAATATCTCCTAGAGACAGAGTTCTGAGCTATGAGGGTCTTTTTTCTAGCCCTTAAGACACTTAAGTGACTTGGAAATCTGCCTTTGGACACAGGTATTGGAATCAGGTCCTCTGATTGTGGCAGCAGCTGAAACATAGCGCTCGAGATGCCCAGGACTTTGCAATTTCCCTTTGTCCACACTGGATTAACTTCACTTCGTGCAATAACTATGAACCAGTAAAGTCTTCCTTAGAGCCCCAGGGAAGGGCACCAATATGACTCAGGTATGTACGTGTGCTGTTTATTTTCACCGAAGGGAATGTCCCCCAAGGCTAAGGAAGAGGCGGGAGTTACAGGAAACCGCACGAGCGAGAAGAGCCACAGCAGCAAACAGGTCACTCCGGAGCCGGACGGAGCGATCTCTGACAGCGCCAACACCGCTCTTCCCTCTAATGTCTTGCGCTGGTGGCACGCACAGAGGAGGCTCCGGCAGGCACGGGCTGTTACGTAAGGTAAATCTGCATTCCTTGCGTAACGCGGCTCTTTACATAACCCCGGCCCCGGCCCCGGCCGCGGGGAGGGCGCCGAGCGGCCCCCGCGGGAGCGGAGCGGAGCGCATGGAGCATCCCGGCGGGGCCCTCCCGGAGAACCGCCCCCAGGAACAAACCGTGCCGCGCTCTGCCTACGGGCTAGGGAACAGGAAAGATGGGAAGTGTCACAGGCTGCGGACCCCCACGGCTGACAGCTTATGGGCTTTATGGAAAGAGGACAGGGGCTCTGTAAGTCATTTCGCATCTAAAATCACAGAACCGGAGAATCATCGAGGCTGGAAGAGACCTCTGAGATCACCCAGTCCCACCATCAGCCCAACAGCACCAGTATGAGCCCTACACCACTAAACCACATTGCCCAGAAATGGGTCCAGACACCTCCTGAACATCTCCAGGGGCGGTGACTCCACCACCGCCCTGGGCAACCTATTCCAGTGCCTGACCACCCTAACAGCGAAAACATAAATATAAGCACAGGCCTGGCTACTCAGCCAGATTGATTTTTACACAGACAGACTGGATAAAATAATAAAGCAATTCCCACTCCCAGGTGAAAGTCTAGGTTCTTACATGAGAATATGACAATTTTGTGTTGGGTTTCTTGCCAACTCTGCCTGCTGAGTGCTACACAAGCAACACAGAGAAGGTTTATTTGGGCTGTAAATGGTCAGCAGGAATCCCCATGTACAAATGAACACCCGGGTTGGAGGCTGCAGAGTTTCACTCACTCTTATGAAAGGAGAGACTTGAAAAATATACTTGTAAAACAAAGGGAAGAGGGGGGATACAGTGGGAACAGGGAAGATTGCAGTTCAACACACAGCCCAGAGTTCATTTAAGGATATGTGACCTTTGCGTAAAGTCACATCTGAACCATATCTCGCATTTCCTGGTTTTTGGGCAGTTATGCGCTCCATCTGCACCACACAGATACCTGTTAGTTGGGAAGGAAGCTTACAACAGGAGGGCCAAAGAACCCAGATGCAAACCCTTAGCACAAATTATCACAAAAAAATTCAGTGGTCACCTAAAAGTAATACCAATGCAGAAAAGAGTAGCACTTAGTGGAACTATTTGCATTTCCACTGCAAACATAATATGTAAAACCGATTCTAAACATATGGGTTAGATTCCAGCACCGACTTTTGCAGAAATGACCTAATTCGGAATATTCTTTATTTTAGGGATTTCCAAAATAGACCAAAGGGTTCCCCTCTGTGAGCTGTAATTACACTGTTTCATTATTTATCATGCCCTGGCAGTGTCTAATTTATTAGACCGTTGCATGCTGAATATTTTATTTTATGCGCATTCCAAGCAAACAAAATTCCTCTTAAAACAAAGCTGAGCAAAACAGCATTATACACCAGAGGGGTGGTTAAAAACTATTTCTACTGCGTTGCACATAACTGGGGTGAAATGTAACTTTCTGAAAATTCTCCGTTTTATGAATCAGATTTAAGGTCGTTCAGCTACACACACAGGTTTGGCTACTGCAGTCAGATCTCTCCTTCTTTGAACAGTTCCAGAATTTCAGATAAATTATGTATAAAGTCAGAGCAAGGCAGTCTTCCATCAAGGGTAACTACTTGCAAAGTCCAAGCTAAGTAGGCAAGCTGGTTTTAAATCAGTGTTTTATATGGCTGTTGTGACAAGGCAAGGCAGTTGATGCCAGAAAAGAATGCGCCAAGTGGCTGGAAAGAAAGCTTTCCAAATATCCAAATGGCAGCTTACAATTCCAAACACACCAAAATGTCCCATCTTGCTTGTAAAGCTTTCTTGTGCGGCAAAGTATTACAGTATATTCCATTTATAAAGTCACGGAAAACTTCAGTTATGTTGTTTCAGAGTCCTATTATTCGGACTGTACAGACACTTTCCCAGTTTAGTTTTAAAGCAGTGGCTGAACAGTCACATCCTTTTACGATGTCTATGGCTCCCACTTCCATTTCTGGTTCTAAACAGACTTATATTTGCATACTATATGCATTTTATTTCATAATAACATACTACAGGACAATTATACTCACAGGTATCCTTTCAGAAGGGAGAATGTCACTTGACTGAAAAAGCCCAAGAAACTGGATTCCAAACCTAATCTCAGTCCTAATGTCAGTGCAAGTGATTTTAAAAACATTTTGCACTTTCTGTAAGTGTAGCTGTACCTTATATGGTTGTATTCCGAACACTATGCAAGATGGAGTTTATGAAAAACTGGCCTAATCAAGGTTTCTCCTCCTTGTTCTGCTCTCACATACCTTCTGGAGTGGCCTTGGGCAATCCCCAAAACACAGAAAATTTGCTGCTTATATTTAGAATAGGAACCAAGCTTCTGGATTTTCAAATTCCTCTTTAACTCAATACTGAGAAAGACCCAAACATCTGTATCAAGAGCTCTTAACTGCTCTAATTCAATTACAGCACTGAATACACATGTGCCCAAATAATTTCTGCAAGCTTTATGAAAAGCAGTGGATAAGAAAGATGATGCTTTTTGATTTTTTGGCTTTGTAAAAAGGACATATATGATTTGCTTTGTATCATTTCAATAACTGAGTGGAGTAATTTTCTGTCTTTTTGAATGATTACAATTTTCTATATTATTTAATTTAAAAAGTTGAATGATTCTTCCTTTATAGTGGAGAGTATTTGATAATGCCATTCATCTACATTTCACGTTTGGCACAAACCTCCCCTTTGGCTTTTGGAGATAACTTCATTTAACCATGGGTTTTTTTGCTGTTGGAATATCACTAAGTCTTCAATAAGTAAATGCATGTGCTCCAAGCATATCATTAACTGAACTGACTGAATATCAGAAAAGCAAGTACCAGGTCCAATATTGCTTGGGTGCCACTAATGGCTACGTTATAGATTGAAATATTTCATTTGATCCATTAGTTGTTTTGTTGTTATCAACATCACAGTCAGTTATGTGAAACTATTCACAAAATGAATTCTGATTCCATTAGCTTTTAAGGCACCGTTCAAATGAAAGCAGTATGTTATTACAGCTGAAACAATCTCAAGTGAAAATGAGAGACCATTTGGATGAGTATTCATTCCAGCTTTAATCATCTCCCAGACAAGATTTGTCTGTTTCTAAAAATAATTGTTAATAATGTAATATTGTATGTTTAGGGGTTTTTTATTATTTTATTCCATTCCTCAGTAAATGCTGGCATTTAAAACTTTTATTGCATTTTCCTTTGTTAAAATAGACTGACTGCAAAAGAGCAGTCCAATACCACATGTGCTGGAACAATCATAGTGTCACCTCAAGAGTAATCTCTAAATAAGGCTTAAAACAAGCTGAAGACACAAAAAAACACAGACTTTTTTAAAAAAAATCATATAAATAAATGTGATCAGCTGTAACTTTGTGGTAAAAGGAAGTGGATAACTTTTTTTCTTGTACAGCAAAGTTTACCTGAGAGAACTAGTGCTTGCTACACAAAAGAAGTGAACTAACACCCAAATGGCTTCAGAAAGTACTGACATTTTGCAACGGGAATCACAACATTTAAAATAATTATGGAGACGCACTACTTTCAGTGTGGTGCATAAAAGTATAGCCTACTCAGAAACTGGACTGGCAGAAAGACTCCTTCATGGGGCAGAGGGCACGTGTTTAACAAGGTGTTGACTGTAATCATGAGGTGTTCTAAGTCTGGATGCAAAGTTTAATGCTTCATGGTTTGCAGGTGCCACTGGAAGAGTACAACAACATTTGTGTTGAAAATACGCTATTTCATTGCTGTCAGCCTAATGTTACTTCCATTCCCCAAAGATATATATGAATTGTTTGTTATGAGAGCAGAGATGGGACAGGAAACTGGACCCACCAGTCAAATGTCTGTTTGGAACACACCTTGTAAAATTACTGATCACAGTAATTGCTGCTGCAAAATGTGGGAGGACTTGAAGTATTTTCTCGTTAATTTATTACCATTAGCCTATTCTTACAATCCATCCTGCTCTTATTATAAATCTTGCAATAGTATCTTTTTAATGCTTCAATTACTACAGATGCATTTACTAAATTATGATCTCAGTTTGCCTTTAAGAGCTTCCAACTTGTTACAAAAAGGAAAGTTCATTTAAATACTCATGGTTACCTAGAAAAAGTGTCCTATATCCTTATGGCTTTGCACCTCAGTGCCCATAGAAGCTTTTTTTTTTAATTAGGGCATTTCTAAGGTCTCATTTCTGTGTTAATTCTCTGGCTTCTGTAATATGTGAACTCAAACTGCAAGGTTTTCTTCACTAGGGGCATACGAAGCTGTCCCTTTTCATGAAAGAAAACTGCAGAGACACAGTTATCTCCGAGTCCGTTATTTTTTCCACTGCAGTTGGCAGGAAGTCAGCCCAAGAGGGAACTATTCCAGGCTCTTGCATCCCACAGAAGGCAGATTAAATCAAGCGTGGAGGCAAGCCCCATTTGCCAAGCTGAGAAGAGAAGCCGTGGGATACCTGAGTCCAGCAGGCAGGGCACAGTTACGATTAGAGGGACAGCAAGGAGCCCAGACTGCCGGCAAACGACAAGCAGGCAAGTTCGGGCAAGTTCAGGCAGGCGCTTGGGAGAGAGGATGCAGCACAAACAGCTCAGCAATCAAGGGGAGCACTGAATGGGCAGCAGCAACAGGTGTTCTTTACTCACACGTCTAATGGGCAGGGCAGCCGTGAGTCACACACAGACACTTACAGAATGCAGTTTTCCGGGTGGTGTTTGGCTTGTCTGGGTGTAGCCGGCAGCAGCTGATGAAGACATTCAGAGTGACTGTGGGAGAAACACGTACACACAGCATAAGTCTTTTTTCCCAAGCTAAGAAACAATGCCTATTTTTGTAGTATAAATGCTATTCTAAAAATTTTTATTATTATTACGGCTGACTCATTTTCGAATGCTTTGAATTGGTGCATGTCTCATACAACAGCTGGGGCCATAATCCTTAGCCTTTTTTACGAGCATATGATGGTGATTGTGCTGATACCAGCGTGAAGGGTCAAAATATCCGGTCTTCTTTGCAACTCAGACTTGGTATGGTCACCTCCTTTCTTTTCATTTCCGTGTTTTCACCAGCTGTGTGAAGTAAAGGAGTTTCTGAAGCCAAACCCCCCTGAGGATTATGAAAGGTGCATTTCTATGCTTACCAAGCTGAGGGGACACAGAACTACCTGATTCCTCACATTTTGAGAGATCTACCTTTACCCTGATTATCTTTTTACACAAAGTACCTTGTTCTTCACTCGCTTCATTCCCAGTGCCTCCCTGCATCATAAAGATACTTTTATACCTAAATGTCTTCAGACTGCACTCCAAGTATTGTAACCCAAATTTATCAAAAACATCCCTAAAGTTTTCAGCTTCGGGGCCCAAAACCTCTCAAAATAAGGTCAAAATACTTCACATATTAATATCCTCATACCTGCTGAGTCACGCTTGTTTTGAGCTTCAGTTATTTGCCTTGGGTTATTTAACCAATAAGTTTTTCGAGGTTTGGCGTTTTCTTTTTTTTTTTTCTTATTTTTTAAATATAGACGAGCGCCCGTACCGGGTTGCTCCGCTGAAGGGCGGACACTGCCGAAAACACTTCTTGTGGGGACACATGGCCAGCACATCCCTCGGCTGTCACCTCCGCACCAGCCTCGCGACCTTCTGCTCTCGAACCGAAGTTTTTCTGCATTAAAGCGCCTTTTGAGGAGTTTTGAAAGAGGCGCCCGGGAAGGCGGCACCGCTGAGGCGAGCCCAGGCGGGCTGAGGTGGGCCGGGCCGCAGCTCCCTCCCTCTCTCCTTCCCCTCCCGCCCTCCTTCCCCGCCGCGCCGGTCAGGGGACATGTGACAGAGCCGCTTCTGCCTTGAAGCCACCGAAGGGGAAGGGGCCGGGGAGGGGAACAAGCAGACTTCCCTTCCCTCCTCCGGCTCCCGCCGAGGCCGCGGCCCCGCGGGGGAGGCACCGTCCCTGCCCCGCCACAGGTGCAGCCGGAGCTCAAAGCGCCGCGTCCTCACGGACACCCCGCACCGAGGTAGGGACGGGGCGCCCCGCCCGCCGCTCGCCCCCCGCGCCGGGGCGGGGCCGGGCAGCGCAGCCCCCCCGGGGCCGCGGGCAGGGCGCGGGGG